AAGGCGAGGCTCACCACCCATTTATCCCTCCGCCTTTCAATTAGCCCCACATGTGATTATCGGCCAGGCTGGCACAATTAACTAACTCAAATGGGAAAGGGAACTTTGGTATTAAAATTGATTACCTATCCCAGTTCATAAACCTGTCCCAGGTAGATTTCCTGTTTAGGATTATCTCAAACTTTCAGTTCCCAGTTCACGATAATCCCCATTTGCATAGATCTCGGCATATTGTCAACTTCCTTTTCAACTGGAGGCACTCTGCCAGTTCCTTGAGAGACCAGCAAAAAGAAAAAGTTATGAAAGTTCCTATCATTTCAGTGATGCAAGGCTCAACTTTTCTTAACTGAGGCCATTTATCTGTTTGTTTTTCACAGGATTAGTAACAGAGAGGTAAGGAAAGCTAAAGATGAGTCATTTTAACAGCCCTCATTATTAACATCTTGCAATAGCATACCCAGCATTTTAGTTTTGAGATAAACATAAGCTCTTAGCACCTCTCTAGTCTTTCAGAGTTCCTTCTGAATTAGTGTGCTGCAGGCCGCTCTTCCCTCCCATTAGGAAAAAAAAAATGGTTTTATGTTATTTATTTTTGATCAAGGGAGATGCTGGCATTAGTATGTTGAATGAGAAGGAAATAGCAATTTAAAGGGGGATGATTCATCAGCAAAATGAACAATTATAGAGCTTGTAGATTTTTAATAACAAAGACACTGCAGAAGCTTTAGCTTGGAAAGAAAGAAGGAGGCAAATTTACTATTCCAGTTGGGTATCATAGATGGTCCACTAACATTACAAATGAATGCCACTATGCAGTCTTAATCTCACTTAAAAAGGATTCTAGCATCCCATCCAACAGTGTGCCTTTTTATTTAAATTATTGGGTCAGGCAACAAATCCATTATTCTTCATCCTTTATTTTGAGTTCCTCTCTGTTTAGTCCATTCAGGGCAGCTTTCTGTGACTGCTATAAAGAACAAATAACTCAGGCACTTTTGCCAGAACACACACACACAACCTTTGTTCTAGTTAAGTTGAGTAAGAATTCCTAAACACATTCTCTAAAGTAAAGTGAACTAGTTCCTGAGAAAGACTTGGAGAATCTTTAGACAGATTGCATGGAAATCCACTTCTTTCTTCTCACCACTCTTCTCTTATTCGAACACAGCCCTCTCATCACTTTACTAGTGTGTCTGCCCTCCTCTACCTGCCTTTCCCAGTCTCTACCCCTAGTCCCCCAACTAGAAAAATAGGAAGCAAAGTTTTCTCAGGGTGAGTTTTAGGACTAGCTTACCTTTAGGGAGCCATGCTCCAAATCCCATTTATAAACACTAGCGAAAGTGTGTAAATTATGCATTAAATAAGTTTCAAGGTATATGAATTATATATGCTCACAATGTAAAAAATAAGCAAGCTGGTCAAGTAAAGCAAGTCTCAAGTCATGGCAAGTCTGGAAAGACGATTTTGCTCAATAGTTTCAAACTCAGCGCACTAAAATAGAAGCCTGGATTTAGAGTACAAGCAAAAATATCATCTTGAGATTTTCCTAAAGGCTCTTGTTTTATTTCCTCACATGGACTAAAAGTATCCAGTGGGTCAGCTATGTTAGTGCGATATTTGTTGTCCCTTCTTTTTCAAAGACTATCTGTTATGTACCTTTTAGCTCCCCTACCAATTAAATCTCTCTCTCCATCATGCAGGATTATTGACTAAACAGGGAGAGAGTAAAGGCTACTATCATGGGTACAAACAAATCTAAAGTGCTTGGAAGGTATGCGATAGTTTCTACTCAGAGAAGCCATCTCTCAGCACACCACGAACCCAACCAATTTAGATGCCATGGTTCGAACTGAAGCATGAATTTAAAAATATGAGTATGGAAAACAGAGTAAAACATGCTTCAAATCCACATTTTGTGTGAGTGACCTGGAGGTAGAACCCTGCAGGACTGTGTAAGGTCAAAACGTGTCTGTTTGCTCTGATCCTTTTAGCTTTGGTATATTTGCCGCAGCAATGAGGAGGAGGAGTCTAAGGGGAATTCATCTCTGTTAACACTCTTGCCATCCCATTATGACCGAGTTATAACTAAAGGCAGAACCCTGAAGGATATGGTACCCGGTCTAGTATTGAGGACCCCAGCTCAGAAAGAGGCAACATCAACAATAGCATTTCCCTGTTAGAGGACTTAGGGGAAAAATAATTGGAATAAAATTATTTCAGGAATAAATTCAATAAAAAACATAGACTATGACTTCTAAGATTTGTCCTTTGAAATATGACATTGCCAAAAGATGCAGAAGAGACTTTGATGATCTTACTTATATCAGCGTGACCCCACCATGGGATATTTTATATTCATGATCTGAAAGCACTATGATTCAGTGAACTATTCTGGGGTTTTGTTTTCCCTGCTCAATTCATGTGCATATTAAGTGCAACAGTTTTCTTGTAAGAGTAAAACAACGTATTTTTGCTCCTTTACCTCAGAATCATTGATTCAAAGAGTTCACTTTGCGAACTCTGCCTATCAGTTTCTGAATGTACATTTCCATAAGTCGTGGTTATTAGACAAAGGCCCACAGAGCGGTCATTTAATGGTCGAGGGCTTTTCTGGAAAACTATCATCAAAATGACTACTTTCAGCCTCCTGTAAGTCCCCTTCATCTAGCTTATAGAAAGGAGGGCAGCAGTTAAGAAATGTAAAATATAAGGTTGTAACTTAAGGACAAGCTAAAAACAAAACAAAAACAAAACTCCCCCAAATAAAAGCCTTACTGGCATTGAGTAGATTCCAACTGAAGATGGGTCTTTTAGATTCTTTAATTTTGAGCTCAATGGCACGGAGAATATGTGTACATGCATGCACACTCAGTTCTGCTAGCCAGCCAGTAGTTACAAAAATATCAATGAATTCATGAACAATACGTATGCATAATATGAATGAATACCATCGGTTTTATAAGCAGATCCTGGAAACAGCATATTTGAATTCTATTTAAATAATTACTTGAGAGTATCTAAGGCCCCAGCCAAGGCTTATATCTTTTTGGTGGCAAGAGGCGTATCATGGGCTTCAGAGCTGCCTGCAGTGGTTAGACCAACAACCAGAAAGGACCCATAGGAAGAGCCGGGTTATTTCGTGATAATTAGAGGCATAACCTGTAAGCTACTTTCACTGAGAGTGACTATGAATTGTGTTTGAAAATATACTAATTCTGTGTTTCTTTTTCTTTTCAATCCCAGGAGGTGAATTAGTTGTCCCTCTTCTTGTAGAAGACCCTTTAGCTACCCCTCCTATTGCTACTCGTGCACCTTCCATTACACTCCCCACTACCTTTCGCCCCCTCCTCACCATTATTGAGACCACCAAAGATTCCCTGTCCATGACCTCTGAGGCGGGGTTACCTTGCTTGTCGGACCAAGGCAGCGATGGTTGTGATGATGATGGCTTGGTGATATCTGGGTATGGCTCAGGGGAAACCTTTGACTCTAACCTGCCCCCTACCGATGATGAAGATTTTTACACCACCTTCTCCTTGGTAACAGATAAGAGTCTTTCCACTTCAATCTTCGAAGGTGGCTACAAAGCACATGCGCCCAAGTGGGAATCCAAGGACTTTAGACCTCACAAAGTCTCCGAAACTAGTAGGACTACTACCACATCTTTGTCCCCTGAGCTGATCCGCTTCACAGCTTCCTCCTCGTCTGGGATGGTGCCCAAATTGCCAGCTGGCAAAATGAATAACCGTGATCTCAAACCCCAGCCTGATATAGTCTTGCTTCCGTTGCCCACTGCCTATGAGCTAGACAGCACCAAACTGAAGAGCCCACTAATCACTTCCCCCATGTTCCGTAATGTGCCCACAGCAAACCCCACGGAGCCGGGAATCAGACGGGTCCCGGGGGCCTCAGAGGTGATCCGGGAGTCGAGCAGTACAACAGGGATGGTCGTCGGCATTGTGGCTGCTGCCGCCCTCTGCATCTTGATCCTCCTGTACGCCATGTACAAGTACAGGAACAGGGACGAGGGGTCCTATCAAGTGGACGAGACGCGGAACTACATCAGCAACTCGGCCCAGAGCAACGGCACGCTGCTCAAGGAGAAGCAACAGAGCTCGAAGGGCGGCCACAAGAAGCAGAAGAACAAGGACAAAGAGTATTACGTGTAAAGATAATCCCACTGCTACTAAATGAATTGCAACAAACAAACACAACACACCAGAATGATTTATATATCGATCTAGAAGTAACTTTGAAAAGGAGAGTTGACAGATGTCACAAACTGTTGTCACGATGAGATGGGGTATGCCATGCCCAAGGTGGGAAAAAGAAACAAGCTCAAAATCCATTGTGGAAAGGACACACACAACCGTGTGTCTCCCTTTCAAAGGCAGCCCCGGCTGCTGTGTGTCAGTCACCGTTCGGAGACAGAAAGCCCTTTCTGCCCTGCTGTATCATAAAGCACACACTTAGCGAGCCCGAGCGAATGGCTCGGACGCTTTAGCGGACTGGAAGCTTCCTTCTGTTGACCTTTCTGCAAAAGGTAGAAGACTCCATGGCTTACTTGTTCCATAACTCCAAGTGAGTCTGTAATAATGTTGTGAAGCTTGACTGTAACAATGTTATGTTTTGGGTTTGTTTTTGTTTTGTTTTGGTTTTTTAGTTTAATTATGTAAAAACGTAAAAAGAGGGGAAAAATGATAAAAAAAAAAAAAAAAAAGCAAAACAATCAAAATCCCCTTATCTGGTTCTGACCAGTGTATGTAACTTTTCAAGATCTAAGGGGATAATGGCTTTTGGGTTTTTTGCTTATTTTTTGAGAATGACTGGATATAAGAAGAAGGGGAAAAACCCCTCAAAAGTGAGAGAGACTCTCGCCATATATGAACTCAAAGCTACCATGGTGTTCACTCTACATATCAGGTTGTGGCGTCTCTAGAATCTGCTGTTTGTTTCCTGCAGGATGCTTTACTTAACACAGAGCAAACTCATGTGACGGATGACAATACCGATTTGAAAGCGTGGTCCCCACAATCGAATACTCGAATTTGCTGCCCAAACCCTGCACACATGGGTCCAGAGATGGCCTTTATAAAAGCCATTGGCTTTATTGAACACGATTGTTTCTGTTCATTGGCCTAACCAAATTGTGGTCGAGGGGAGGGCCCCATCAACTAAGAGAGAGTCTTTCCTAACAAATTGTGGGAGAAGGGGGGCAGGCTGGATCTCTGACTGTTGGAAGTGCATGCAAATATAAAAGACAACAATAAAAGTTTACCAACTAGTCAAACCAGACAGGGGTTCAACTTGTGATGGAGCCACAAGAGGTCACGCAAGCCAAACACATCACGATGGAGTGCAAAATACATAGTTCTGCCCTCACCCCCAACATGACAATGTTTTACATCGTATTTTTATTCTGTAGCCTGACACCAATGGATAGTGCTATCCTTCCATTTGCTCACTTCTCCCTTCACCCATCATTAAAAAAAAAAAAAAAAACTAACAAAAAAATGAAATAAATGAATAAAGCTGCTGTGACACACAAAAAGGAATTTAATAGTATAATATATATATAAATAAATATATATACAGATATATTTATCATGGTATGTTTGATGGGATGGCTGAAACAGGAAAGCTGTTGAAGTCATGAAGCAGAATGAGAATGTTGTTTTAAAGGAAAATAACAAAACAACAGAAAAGCAGACCTTAAAATGTGAAGAAAGCGTGAGTTTTAGTTTTGTCACAGTTAACTGTGTCAAAGAGGAAAAAAAATCTCAGATTTTGTTTACATATTTTACTACATTTTTGCTGGTATAATTCCTTAGCCACCTATGTACATACTGCTTTGAAAACTGTTATTTCTCTTTGTTTATTTCAGTTTGTTGGATTTATATTCCAATTGTCTTTATTTTTGAAAAGAGGAAACAATGTACAGAAAAAAAAGAAACTGGTTGTGTGGCCATAGCTATCCAAAAAGCAAGAGAAAAAACCAGACAAATATTCACACAAAAATGGAGTCATCCTCCAGTGGGTCAGACATATACTATTTGTTTTGTACAGATGAAAATCAATCAGCTGTTTAGATTTAGAAATCTACTCTTGCTGGTCTTTGTAAGTTGCATGAATATTTGACTTTGAAAAATTATCTTAAAGACATGGGGCAAAAAGCGCAATTTCAACAATGGTAGCATTTTCTAATGTGTATGGAAAGAGGTGTTCCTCATTATCTGATATTGCAATATGTTAAGAGGTTTTTAAATTATTTTTTCTGTTGTTATTCAAAAAGACAGGATTATAAAGAGATGTCAAGCACGATCTTAGATAATATAAATGGCCCAACCTCTATGAAGTTGATTATATCTCGATGTCTGTAAAAGATTGCTGTTTTTGGAGTCTTGAGGTCTTGTGAACGGATTTCCTGCCCACTTTCTTTACAAGTATTCTTTTCCTTTTTAATTTGAGTAAAAATATATTTGTTATATTCCTTTTAGCGTAAGTTTCTATTTGGACAATTTTATGGGAACATGTGCATTCTGTATGTGAGCTTCTATCATATTCCTGTTGTTTTATGAGCAGACCCTTAAGGAATTTATTTTATGATGTTGTGACGTTACTGCTTTTTCTTTTTCCTTTTCCCTTTTATTTCATATTTGCATTTTCGTTCAAGGATATGCTTAGCAATAAAATGTTCTTCCCAAAACCTTGTATGTTGCTGCATTTTTATTTTCCAAACTTTTGGAGAGAAAACCCATTATTGAACTGACACTAGATATGGTATACCTTATTGAAAACCAGGTAAGCCAAAACCACTTTGACATAATGTAATGTATTCTCACCCATTGCTAGTTACTTATGTCCACTTATAAAAGTGACATGTCACTTGGGTAGATAATGATTGTCATCTGCACCATTATGGTCTCGATGACAGTGATAGCGAGACTTCTGAAAAGGTAAGGCGGCGTAACCATTTTGTTCTGTCAAAGATTATTGGAGAATATATATTTAAAGTGTGTTTTGTATCTTTCTTGCATTTGCTATGCATCAACAGACACAGCAAACAGTGTTCCAGAACATGTCCATGGAGCACCCTAAGCACGGAAAGGCTTTAGATCCTGTCTTCTGTGCTTCTCTGCCTTCTGGAAATCAAAATGAAAGCATGAAATGCAAAAGCTTTTTCAATGAAGGCTTACATTTTAAAAGTCTCTCTCTAGATATTTTCATTAAATTCTTCATAAATTTCAAATAGCTGGAGTTTTCCCCAGAGCTCTGGGACACTTACTCGCTGCATCCCTATGCATCTGCTTTCTTTCCTCCTTAAAGAAGGCATCCCTATATCCAATCCTTTCCATGATGATCTAGAAACCGGGCTTCAGCTCAACAACGGCAAACTCTTCCTATCAGTAACCAGTGAGTTTCCAAGGAGTTAAAATGCAAGCTGAAAGTACTTAACACAGTTGCTTTGGCTGGTATTAGTGGAATGATTATGCTAGTGGCTGTCAGGAAATAGAAGAACAATGATGCTGAGTGATGTCAAAGGATAAGAAGTGCCGTCTTTTGTTCCCATCTTTCTGTAAAGTTAAGCAGTAATTTCCTTAAAGTAAAGCAGTCTCACGGAATTTACTGAAAGTAATCAAATCCCATTATGTGCTCGGTACTGCCTGTATTGAGTGTTTCAGATCTATGTAGTCGGTTCAGTCCCTGGGTGGTAGACAGTATGCACTCCATCTTAAAGTTGAGGAGGCAAAGACACAAAGAGCTTACTGACAACTTGGTTAATACATTGTCAATCATATTAACAATTCAGAGCTTGCTGTCAAGGAGGGTGGTGGATGTAGTGGATAGAAAATAGGTTGGAGCCCCAACTGGATTCCTCCCTTCGAGTGGGTAAACTTCATGATCACAATCCGCACTGAAGGTGACATCTCAATGACCTTGCCTTGCAAGGCGGTTTTCAGAAATAAATGAAATCACATAGAATGCTTTGAACTCTCACACTTAGTAAGTGTTCAATAAGGCAAATCTTTTGTATTTTGAGTGCTACGCTATTACTTACATAAGAGCTTCATTCTAGAATTAGAAAGTCTCTACTATATTTTAAAATGATTTTAATTAATCAGTAAAATTAGTTATCGCCCAGTTATGTGACCAAGCTATGTCTAGGGTTTGCTGGCTGTAATTGGCAAAGCTAGACCCTTTATAATCATATACTGTGATTACAAGCTTAAATATCACTAGCAAAAAAAATGTGGGTATGGACATTGGAGTTATAAGTCATATTTCAAGCTGGTGGTCAAAAGATAAGTAAAGTGAGAGCAGATCTTGGTAATGCCAACCTTCCAGAAGATATTCAGAGATGGGTGATGTCACAGACACTATCGATATCTAAGTGACATTTACTCAGATGCATTGGTTCAAGTCCATCAACAAAGGTAATGTTTTCACCATAGTTCCCTTGGGGAACTACTGCAACTACACTGTGCCTTTGCAAATAAAGCTGAGCCAGAAAGATTCATTTCGAATCTTGGCTCAGCTTCCCAGGGTTGGCTGTTACTAGCTGAGAAAGACCTGTCATGACTCCAGCTTCATCTATAAAATTAGAGTATTACCTACCTCTTGGTGTTCATTGTAAGCATGTAACTCTGATGGTGCACAGAGTTAAATCTTGGGCTGCTAATGGGAAGGTCAGAGCCTCAACCCCACTTGCCACTTCTCAGAAAGACTGAGTCTCACACTCCCTGGGGAGCAGCAGTTCAACTCTGTCTTTAAGGTCTCTCAGTCAGGATGGAGTGAGGGGCAGTGGGAGAGTGCTGTTTTACAATGAAATGAGCTAGTGTGCCTCTAAGGACCTGACCCAGGGCCTCAAGGAATGATGGCCATGATTGTCATTTTAATACTCTCTTATTGATCTAGAGGAGCCCTGGCAGTGTAGTGTGTATGCATTGGGCTGTTAACCTCAAAAGCAGCAGTTTGAAACCACCAGTGGTCAGAGGGAGAAAGAGAGGGCTTTTTACTCCTGTGAAGAGTGTATAGTCTCAGAAATTCACAGGGGTAGTAGGTCTACCCTGTCCTAGAGGGTCACTATGGGTTGGTGACTTGATGGAAGTGAATTTGGTTTGGTTTTATTGATCTAGGGAGGAAAAAGTAGCAGCCAACAATTTTTCCCCAAACCTAAAAAGGTGTTCAAGATCCCCAAAGCAATTATTTTACTTCTGTCACCTAAAAGCATATCATTTCATTTCACTATACAAAGGTAAATATATACATATATATATGTGTGTGTGTAATGCTACTAGGGTTCCAAGTCTTGTGTGCACAGATTTTACACCAAGCAAAACATGCATAAACATGACTCCACAATCACTAGATGGCTGCAGACAAGTTCTCTCAGTATTACACATATCTTTGTGTTATTAGTGTGCCTTCAAAAGAAGTTTGCTCAAAATAATGGCATCCAAAGGTATCGCTGAATGAATTTCATGCTAAGAGGTCAGCTTAGAAGGCTATGTGACTGTTTTATGGAATCACCACGAGGTCATTGTAATAGATTTTTCTCAGAGTATATAGGATAATCAGTGGAGCTTATTATGAAGAAATTTTAAGAAAGGAAAACTCCCTTGCAGAGAAAAAGGCCAGAAAATGTTCTCTTAGGATTGCTTTTGCCGACTCTGACAATGATTGTAAACTGTGTTCAGTCTTTGAGGGTAGCAAAGGCTATCCTACGATAATTTTGTTTGGAAACCTTATCCCATTCACCCTATAGCTCTGATTTCTCTTACAACTTCTTTTTGTTCCCAAACTCAAAGAAAAAAAAATTTTTTAACTCTGGTTTGCATCCCTACAGGATGCCCAAACTGCTGTTTTGACGTGGTGTGAGTCAAAGAACATAGAAGTCAGGGTTAGAGAATGTGCACAACCCTACAAAGCCATAAATTTGTTTGAACTTCTTAGTTCAAGGGCTCATCCAAAACTCCAAACCAACCTCACTATCATTAAGTCAATTCTGATTCATAGCAACCCTACTGGACAGAGTAGAACAACCATTTGGGGTTTCAGAGGCTACAAATAAACCTTTGTGGGAGCAGACAGTCTCACCTATTTCCCTCTGAGCTGTTGGTGGGTTTGAACAGTCCACCCTGGGACTAGAAGGCCAACACATACTCCACTACAGTGTCCACTGGGCCTCCTTTCTAGGGGCTCATTTTTTCTGTGCTTTAATGGACAGTTCTATCCTTTCTATCCCTATTATCCTCCATCTCTTTATACCCATGGAGTCACCAGTGCCTGAGACACTCCCGCGAAGCACTGTTGGCTATGTCCAACTTAAACCAGTGTTTGCCTGTAGAGATTCACCCAAATCCAAAATCTCGTTTCTGATATTGAAGTTGAAGTTCTATCTTTTTCTAAACATCATCATTCTGTATATTTTATCCTAGTTGAATTGAATTCTTGATGAAATTGTTTGAGATTAATTGATCATTATTTGCTTTATATGACATTTAGTGAATGCTTCTATGTGTCTACAATGAGAATAAAGGGAGGAGATGCAAACAATGAGTACAAATAAACTGCTGAGTAAATACAAACTCAGCTCACTGACAGTACAGGAGAAATCATTTAAGGTAGTGATTCTTTGAGGGGGTAGCATGATAAATACATCTTGAAAAATTGATAGGATAATCATAGACTGCAGAACATTTTAAGCAAAGCATTGAATTGGGAGAGAATAGAATGAAAACAATAATTTGTATAAACATCAATTGTATAAGTACGCTAATAGAAGTCCTGGCCAGGAGGGTTAAGTGCCAGACTTAGATAGCTATGCATTTCTAGCTAAATCTCTTTGGGAAGAATGTGGGTTTAAGTGGGTACCTGGTTTTTACTCAAATAGCAAGAAGCTATTGTTTGTTTGCCAAATGCTTATCCCCACCCCTATCCCATGGGTGTTTTCATAGCTGCACTATGGTGTTGCATTCTGACCATATGCAATTTTTCACCACCTGTAAGGAATTAACATTGTACTTATGAACATGTTTCTCAGGAAGAGGGCATGCTTGACAAACACAGGAAATGGGCGCAATTTTTGCTTTACTACCCGACATCAGAATGACAACAGTTATACTAAAAAATGTAGATGAGGATTTCTGTGAAGATGTTGGTGCCCTTCCCCCACATAAAGAAGCTGAGAAGAAAGACAAATATTAGAGGTGGGGGGTGGGGGTTGGGGGAGATTATACTTTAATAGCATTGGGATGTATGGATTTAAATTTAAGCAAAATTCTTTTCAGGTACTAATAGACTGGCAAGGATCAGGACTTTCAAAGAAACCTCAAGACTGAAAATGTAGAAATGGAAGTTATCCACATAGAACCATTAACTGAAATACTTTAAATGTATCTGTGCATCTGCATGTATGTGAATGACCTAGGACAGAGCCATACAAGAGAAAGTTATCATACAGGAGAGGTAGTCATCAGAAATATAGATGGAAGAACCAAGCCAGAGGGCTTTTGCAAAAGAAGGGTTGTTCAAGAGTGTGTGTAACAAGTCCAAGAATTGCTGACTGCTGTTAGGTACCCGCAACCTACTCATAACCATTCCAAGTACGAAAGGAGGAAACCTGGTCCAATCTTGCCGCATCCTTACAGTTGTGATGTTTGAGCCCATCCTTTCAGCCACGATGTCCGTCTATCTCTTGAGGGT